ACATGTGCAACATCTGGATATCTTTATTGTAGACGTTTTCGCCATCCAGTGGCTTTATCAATACAGATTCTAGGACATAATAGGAAGACAGTAGAACTCTATGCAAAAGATGAGGTAATCAGTTCCTCAGCCTTGGAGTTAGCGTTCACAGCATCGTGGTGGAGGAGAATATGGAGCAAAGGCAAGAAGACTGGCGGTTATATAGGCGTTAGTGGATAAGGACGGGCAGCAGACGAGGGCATAGTCACTGGTAGGCGGGATTCCCCAGTGGAAGTAGGTCCTTCCCAAATAGATGGGTTAGTTGCAGCAGCCGTGAAGGTCTTGTAGATGTCCTCTGAACCAAGATTCCATGATGTTGCAGTGTCTGACAAGTTGTGCAAGAAAGGTATAAAATACCGACAATATGAAAGTTAAGACATGTGCAACATCTGGATATCTTTATTGTAGACGTTTCGCCATCTAGTGGCTTTATCAATACAGATTCTAGGACATAATAGGAAGACAGTAGAACTATATACAAAATGTTGCACATGTGTCTTAACTTTCAAAAATAAAGATTATTACCTGCGTGATTATAATCAAGGGGGAAGCACTAAACCCGGAGGATTATACAGCGCCTGGGGGGATGTGGAAGGCATTCAGGCTTAATTCGGGGAACTGGAGCACGGATCCAATTCCCTAAATCAAGAGCCCCTCACCAACATCAAGGAACCTTTCTTGAGGGGTACCTGCGTGATGAACAGGCTACCAATCCATCCCACTCCTTACGTCCCATTCTCTCCCCACCTAGGAAATTGCCATTGTTTTCCGAACCAAAAACCTCATTTTCTCCACGGAAAGCAAGTCATTTTAGAGCTAAGAATTTTACAACAGCAACAACTCTTTCTAGAACTTTTCTCCAATAAGTGCGCTCTTTTTCAGTTTGATTTTCCAAATGAGAATCCAATAAGCCTTTTTTCTGTGTACGAAATACACTGGCTAAAATGCAGCTCCTGTGAGTGGTGCTGTTTTCATGTTCCTCAAAACGCTTGGAATTTTTCCAGTCATTGAACCCCTGTGTGAAGGTATTTTCTTTGGTAGAAAATAGCTTGCATGCTGAACAGTACACTTTTCCTGAGCTTTCAGAGTATACCATCCATGATCTATTCACAGTTTCTGAATTTGCAAGCTTCCTATAAAACATAGATGATTTAACACAAACGACTTCCATCATCATAAATCCTTGCTGATTCTAAGTCAATGTTCAAGTTTGACTGAAGTTTTCTGCAATGAAAGCATTACGTAGAGAATCTGGGATTACATTTGGCCATGAGGCAGGATCTTTTAAGACAAATCCTGTGGATGAAATGTCCATTGATTATTATTATTATAATCAAGGGGGAAGCGCTAAACCCGGAGGATTATACAGCGCCTGGGGGGGGGGATGTGGAAGGCATTCAGGCTTAATTCGGGGAACTGGAGCACAGATCCAATTCCCTAAATCAAGAGCCCCTCACCAACATCAAGGAACCTTCCTTGAGGGGAAAATGTCCATTGAGACATTGAGAGGAGACACAAAAGAAGTAGATGCTGGCTGAGAAATAATGGAGGGAGGGCTTCCTGCATGATCTGACGTATCTGCAGATTCAACTGTACTGGTAACATCAGAAACTGTTTTCGTGAGCATGTCTGTGATCTTTCTGCAGCTTCCTACATCTTTCTTTTTCTGTTCTTCTTGAATTTTCTTTTCTTTTCTGTGACCCACTCGCATAAGAACGTCCAACATCACGTTCACGAGATGCCATAATGAGGATGCATCACTGTCTGTAATCATGCAAATACAAATTTTTCATTATCAATTATTAATTTTTTAATTAATTTTTTTTTTGTCAATTGGGGGGATATGGCCCTTGTAGCCTCCTTTCCTCTGGCTGCGCATCTAAAAATTCAAAACGTTACCAGAAAGGAGTCATATACAGAACTTTTACCATAGATTAGGTTAGTGATTTGGACTACGAATATTTTACTAATTCATCCTCCTTGATCTCCAATTTACTTAAACAGAAATCATACTGAGTCCAAGAACAATGCACAATGGTATTTATATTACCATTTTCATAACTAAACTAATCATTATGTTTTGCATGATATATGGCCTACCACCATAGATAAGGACATGAGAATTAAAGAATGCAGGGACAATTTTCAGTTTCACCCAACCAACGATTTTCTGATGTGGCTTATGTGTTTCTGGGGAAATATGTAGTAAATTAATTGATGTTCTACATCACTTCCGTCGCAACTTGAAAACTAAGCATTTGCGACGGAAGTGATGTAGAACATCAATCAATTGAGATATGTTATTGAAATGATAAAGACTTAAAGACAGGACCAAGTGCTTTTAAAACCTACAAACGGAAGTCAGTTTGCGTTTTTAGGTTTTTCTTTATAGTATTTTTACCAAAAATGCGTCTTTACTGGTCCATGCGTCTTTACTGGTCAAGTAACCCTATCAGGTACCTCCCTTAACATTTAGAGGCGAAAACAAACATTTATCCATACACATCAATGTCTATCACAACACTTCAGTTAATTTGTCACAGAACAAGTCTAGATAACGTGTAATTACTACAGAAAATTGGAGAGGAATCTCCCATACTCACCCATTAGCGGGAAAACACAGCTGTTCTGATGTAAACAGAGGCGTGTTGAGTGTTGCCATCTATGGTTAGGTTTATTTATTTTTATTTTATTTCATTATTTATTTTGGTTTTGATTAATTTTTAAAAATCAATTTTACTCTCCAAACACTTGAACTTTTTAGGTAGGGACCCCTTTGCACTTGCACCATGTGCGCAGTTTTGGATGAGCCCCTGAACCCCTTGGACTGCGGGGCCCCCAAATGCGCGGGGCCCTAGGCAAATGCCTAGTTTGCCTATGCGGTAATCCGGCCCTGCCGGTACTATCAGCTATCACAGCCAGTGCTCTCAGCTATCACAGCCAGTACCATCAGTTGTTACAGTACTATCAGCCATCACAGTTGGTGCTATCAGTTATCACAGTTGGTGATATCAGTTATCACAGTTGGTGATATCAGTTATCACAGCTGGTGCTATCAACTATCATAGCAAGTGATATCAGCTATCCCAGCCGGTAGTATCAGCCATCACTGCTAGTACTATCAGCTATCACAGCTGGTGCTATCAGTTACCTCATTTAGCATAATTCTCTATTCAGTGGGGATCGCTAAACCCTAAAATATAATACGCCTTCAGAGTGAATGGGCAGGGTGTACTCAAGTTTGATCCAAGCATAGGCTGGATCTAATTCCTTAAATGAAGAGGACTTCCACAGCTTGGAAGGATACTTGAAGTGGGGTGGTGCCGGCTCTCCATACTGCTATGCCACAACACTGAAGAAATTTTCCCATAATAAGCCAGCTTTTCCTCAGCATCTTCTTGTGCAAATTAATTGTAAATTTATTGAGTACAATTTTTACAGAAAGCAGAACAACTATTTAATTGCTATAATGTGAACACTGGCACACAGTAAAGAGGCGAGGCCATGAGCTGTGACTCGACCCATGCAACCAAATAGGAGAGTATACACACATACAAGTGTACACACACACTGGTTGAGGGACAAATTGAGAGAGGGAGGGGGAAGCAAAGATGATCGGAAACAGATTACAGGCTTGGAGGACATCAAGAGGACCTCGGGGTAATATCTGAGCATTTCACCTGAGAAATACAGCAAATGAGAGACTGACAAATTTAAGGGCAGCTTTCAGAAACCTCAACAAGGAGGCACCCGCAGCCCTATACTTGGCACAAATCAGGCCCATCATTGATATGCAGCCCTCAGATAAGTGCCGAGACGAGTCTCAGAGCTAAGGGGTATGAATTATGAGAACATGAAGGACTAGAGAGTGACTTGATTAAAATATACAAAATACTCAGAGGAAGTGACAGGGTGGACAGGGCAAGTCAGAGACAGGTCTCTGATACACAAAGACACAGATGGAAGCCTGAAACACTGATCAGTCACAGAGGTATAAGGAAATACTTCTTTAGCCTTGGAGTAATCAGAAAGTCGTTGAGGCAGGATATCTATACATGGTTTTAAAGATAGACATTACAGGGCTCATGCAGCCAGGAGTTTGTGACTCAGGAACAGCCAACAGGGGGGTGGGGCGAGTAGTGACTTGACTTCTGTAACCAAAAATAGGCGAATACATTCACTCTCTCTCCATGGGATGAGCATGAGTGCAGTATATCTAGTATGAAATAATGAGAGTACAGTATGAGTAACATTATGTTAAGAAACACAGTTTCTGATATCTGTAGAAGCAAGAACAAACTTACAGACTATGCTCTAAAGTGTATTGACCCTTGTGGTTTAGCATTTCTTTTTGATAATAATAATAAAGTGTATTGCAGATGCCAGTGGAGCTTCACAGCTCCTCTGACTCGCAAGTTTTTCCGAGTCACCACTATCAATCATGACAAACCATACCACGGGCGGGATTTGAACTCGTGGTCAGAGAGTCTCAATCGTGTCATTATGATTTCGTGAGTCGAATCAATCGTGACATTTTACACCTCAGCTCTCCACTATGAAGAGTTATGTAAAATTACTGTAAATTATTTACAGTACTTTACTGTAGTACAATACTACAGGTTACAATACCAATATTCCTCATGTCTGGTTATCTTCTGCATTAGTGGACAAAGCCTCCTTGCTAGCTCAGAAAAAACTGAACCATCACAAAAAATTTTATTTTTATAATGGTGAAGTTTTAGGCAATTGGTTATAAGGGACACCCACTTCTATCGGTTGTTTAATGAGAAGGTTCACTGTGCTCTACAGTACATCTCATTTAGTACTGTACATAATTTAGTTATACATTGCAATAAATAGTGGAAATAAAGGAGTTAAAAGTACATTAAGACTAAAAAGGCACAATACCATGACTGGAAGAATACACAAATAATCCATACATAGGAGAATGAAAGTTATGATGACGTTTTGACTTGACTTGTTCCATCAACCAGTCTCACAGTTACAAGTACATTTTACCCAGTGAATTCTTTTAATTTTAAAAGTCCATTACATTTAAGTCCATTATACCTAGAGGGTTTAATAAACAATTTTAATCTTAAGAATATAAAGTTAATTAAAAAAAAAAATGATCTAGTATCACTCCAAAAGATCCATACTGACAATAATAAGGAAGAAATTTTTGAAGGGTATTTGAAGGTAATGATTTACATGTGTTAAATTCTGGTTCATAGTTATTATTTCAGGTAGTAGATTGGTAGACAGCAACCGCCCAGGGAGGTACTACCGTCCTGACAAGTGAGTGTAAAACAAAAGCCTGTAATTGTTTTACATGATGGTAGGATTGTTGGTGTCTTTTTTCTGTCTCATAAACATGCAAGATTTCAGGTACGTCTTGCTACTTCTACTTACACTTAGGTCACACTACACATACATGTACAAGCATATATATACACACCCCTCTGGGTTTTCTTCTATTTTCTTTCTAGTTCTAGTTATTTCCTCTTATCTCCATGGGGAAGTGGAACAGGATTCTTCCTCCGTAAGCCATGCGTGTTGTAAGAAGCAACTAAAATGCCGGGAGCAAGAGGCTGGTAACACCTTCTCCTGTACAAATTACTAAATTTAAAAAGAAAAACTTTCGTTTTTCTTTTTGGGCCACCCTGCCTTGGGATATGGCTGGTTTGTTGAAAAAAGAAAATATTATTATTATCACACTGTACAGAGGGAAATCTCACATTTTTTTTCTTTTTTAAAGTAACTGGAAATGCCTACTAAAAATCTCACATACTATTCAAAACTTTTCCCTAGTATACTAGTACTAGTACCAGTACCAGTAGCAGCAATAGTAGTACACTTACCATCCGACTTATGACCTGCTCGACTTACGACCACTCGACTTACGACCGTGTTTTTTATGCCAATTTTCTGGGAAATAAACAACTATTTGTGTTGTACACAGTGTTTATCCTAAACCTTACAGTATAAAATACAGTACTAACAACATAAAAAGCAAAGTAAAACATGAAATACCAAAATAAAACAATAAAATAAAGTCATTACTAAAATGTTTTGTTGATATTCAATAGTAAAGTTCGACTTACGACCATTTCGACTTACGACCGGTTTCTCGGAACCGAACTTGGTCATAAGTCGGATGGAGGGTGTACCAGTGTCAGTGACAGTACAGTATTAGTACCATAATAGTACTAGTACATACAGTAGTACCTCGGGATACAAACGGCTCAAAACTCAAACAATTATGCAAGTGTATTTATGTAAGTGCTTTTGTAAGTGTATTTTTGGGGGTCTGAAATGGATTAATCTAATTTACATGATTCCTTATGGGAACAAATTCGTTCAGCATTGGCACTCGAACAGCATTCTGGAACGAATTAAGTTCGTATCCCGAGGTACCACTGTAGTGCTGTTATTACTTGTAGTAGTAGTAGTAGCAGCAGCAGTGGTACTGGTACTAGTAGTATTAGCAGCAATAGTAATAGCAGTACAGGTCTCCCTCAACATTCGCGAGGGTTAGGGGATCAAGAGCCTCGCGAATGTTGAAAAACCGTGAATGTATTATTATTAACAACATGTATGTTATTAAATACCACTGCCTCAACCGCTGCCTCAACAGCTGCCTCAATTGCTGCCTCAACAGCTGCCTCAACAGCTGCCTCACCCACTGCCTCAATCGCTGCCTCAACAGCTGCCTCAACCACTGCCTCAATCGCTGCCTCAACAGCTGCCTCAACCACTGCCTTGATTGCTTCCTCAACAGCTGCCTCACCCACTGCCTCAATCGCTGCCTCAACACCTGCCTCACCCACTGCCTCAATTGCTGCCTCAACAGCTGCCTCACCCACTGCCTCAATCGCTGCCTCAACAGCTGCCTCAACAGCTGCCTCAACAGCTGCCTCAACAGCTGCCTCAATCACTGCCTCAACAGCTGCCTCAACAGCTGCCTCAATCACTGCCTCAACAGCTGCCTCAACCACTGCCTCAATCGCTGCCTCAACAGCTGCCTCACCCACTGCCTCAATCGCTGCCTCAACCACTGCCTCAATCGCTGCCTCAACAGCTGCCTCAACAGCTGCCTCAACAGCTGCCTCAATCGCTGCCTCAACTGCTGAATTATTGTGAAATGTTTGTAAGAGCACGGAGACTAATGCTCACTCCAGCACAAACAAAGCCACACTGACGATGTGTCAACCACTCCCTCGTATTTTTGTACAACTTCCTTCAATTATATCGTATTTATTATTATTATTATTACTATTGTTATTATTAGCCACACTGACGATGTGTCAACCACTCCCTCGTATTTTTGTACAACTTCCTTCAATTATATCGTATTTATTATTATTATTATTATTATTATTATTATTACTATTGTTATTATTAGCAGTAGCAGAAATGTTTGATTCTTTGCTGTGTTCAAGAGTAAACACATGATGTCACCGTCTAATACCTGTCCGAACAGCCATTCCAATATGCAGTCATGAATGGGTTTACATTATTTATACTGTAGTTTAATAGCAAATAATGAACAAACAAAACACTCACCACACTGAGTGGTGGGAGGGCTGGCTGCTAGTTGCGGGGGTCGGTGGGAGGGTAGTAGGGACTCGCAGGTGGCGGGAAACTTGAATATGATTTGGCGGCTGGGAATTTGGTGGCTGGGAATTTGGCGGTTGGGAATTCGCGAATGTGTGAAGCCCGCGAAAGCTGAAAACGTGAATGTTGAGGGAGACCTGTATTATTAGTACAGTACTAGAAGTCATACTAGTAGTGCTGCTGGTAGCAGTAGCACTAGCAATGTTTCTAGAAGGACTTGAGTGTTTTATTTACACAGGATATTATTATTACAATCAGAGAAAGCGCTAAACCGACAAGGGTCTACACAGGATGTGACATTCCAACAGGGCTGAGTTTTCTAACACATTTTTTCTTTTGAATGAAACCCACAACTGTCGGCTAACACACAGTACGTACTTATTTAAACTGCTTGGCGAGCAGAGGCAGCAGTGGTGCTAAGGAAACTTGCTCAAAAGTTCCTCTATGCCACTGAGTCAAACCCAGGACCTTGCCATTGTAAAGGAGAGATAAGAGAAGCTGAAGAGATGAGATGATGAGAGAGCTAGATGGGGGTAAGAGTGAGAGAGTAAATTCCCTCTATATTTTATTTCATGGGGAAGTGCTAAACCTGTAGGGGGTCATACAGTGCCTGGGGAAACAAAGCATTCAGGCTTAATTCAAGGAACTGGAGCACAGGTCCAATTCCTTAAAACCAGAGCCCCTCGTCCCTCCCTCCCTCTCTACAATGAGCCACATGTTATGATTTTGAATACATACAAAATAGTTGAGTAAAACTCAACATGCTTGTCCTCTCTCTTATGCTTTTTCTACCATTTGACATATTACTGGCATTCATTGACACTGTAATAAAAGTGCTCTGAATTTTAAACCCCCTGGATATTTTAATAAGACTACATTTTTTTTTTTTTCAACAAGTCGGCCGTCTTCCACCGAGGCAGGGTGACCCAAAAAAGAAAGAAAATCCCCAAAAAGAAAATACTTTCATCATCATTCAACACTTTCACCACACTCACACATTATCACTGCTTTTGCAGAGGTGCTCAGAATACAACAGTTTAGAAGCATATACGTATAAAGATACACAACATATCCCTCCAAACTGCCAATATCCCAAACCCCTCCTTTAAAGTGCAGGCATTGTACTTCCCATTTCCAGGACTCAAGTCCGACTATATGAAAATAATTAATAAATTATTAGATAATTTGTTAGGCTGTTACAGCCATTTGTTTTAATTGTCAAACAAGGCTCTCTAAATTTTTGCTGATGTGATGTAAATCTATAATGGCTCAAGAGGGGTCAGTAGGAAGGCCAAATGAAAGATTAATTAAAAATATCAATTTGTATAGCACACTCAAATACAAACGTGATAACATTATTTATACTGCAAAGGATGTGCCCTACAAAACAAACTTATTAAATACTGTGATACTGTATGTAAAATTATGACTGAAAAAGAAGTCATAAGTTGTCTGCATCAAAAAGCAACTTCGGCTCTGTATAGAAGCCACCATGGGCTATTCGAGGCTAAAGTATAACATAGCATATCAAAAATTATTAGTATTAAACAAATTTTAAAATTTAATAAATAGTAATATATGTATAAATAGACTTTTTTAAGCTATTACTATATATTTTTTTCGAGAGGCCCACCTGTAATGTCATACATCACTCATGTTAATACTTTACTTCCCTCTTCAAGTCCTAGTAGGTTTTAGCTTGCTATTGTGCTGTGTTAATCATTCACAATTACTGTACTTGTATGAAAATGCTCACTTGTTGTCATTCCATCAATTTTGATAATTAAAACTCAGAACTCTTTGGGAACCAGACAACATATTAAGTATGGCTAAAACTGTGAACCCTCCCAGGACTTGTTATCTTGGTACAAGGAGTCTTCTGCAACTCCTTTGCTAAACAACTGTATAGTTAGAGATGAGATGTAAATTTACCCTTTCACATTGTTAAATGAAGTGATTCACTATGTTTATTTTTATTTATTAAATAAATACGCCTGTTTTGAATCTGCAGTAAACCTAATACCAAGAAAGGGGTGTTCGTGTGTGTGTGCGTGGGGGGGACGCACTAGGGATGTAGCCTGGAAGCCAAGAGCATGGCAGCCTGCAAAAGTTTGGGAACCACCGCTCTAGACTATCACACCACCTCAGCTTATAATGTTTGGCATCCAGTGAAATTATTAGATATACTGCCTCCTGACCGCACTGAAGGGAAGGTACGCTATGAGATTAATTTCATTCTCCTCTCATTTAGATACCAGCCTCATGAGCAGTAAAAATATTAATGCTTATAACACCTGTTTTTTTTCAAGCACATGTAAAGCTCCTAAACTACTAGCAAGTCTTCCATGCCTGCATAGAGATGGTTTGCAGTGCCACTAACCTGAAACCCCCTCCTTTTTCCCAGCAAACTTGGGATCCTGGTTTTCTGCTAGTAACAACTGGAAAGGAGCTTCAGGATGTTGAAAATGGAATGTACTTCTGGATTGTTATGGAGGTAAAGAGAGATGGAGAGTGCATTCTTGGAGTTAAAATGATGGAGGGTTACACATCAGAGGCTTGCTCTATGTTGAGAAATAGGGTCAGTTAAAGTTCAGAAGAGAGCAGGCAATGATCCATCAAGTCAATGAGGAGAAAAGAGAATGAGCCACAGCCATTCCTAAATGGCATTAAAACAAAGGCAGCTTGAAAACCCCACAACAGATAATAAAAAAAATATGGGAAACAAGGCCTTCTCGGAATCCTTGTTGTGATCCTGATCATTCATGTAAAGTGAACATTCTTGTAGTGATGAATGTGCTTTGACAATAATACCCAAAATTTGTGCAAGTGGCCAGAAGAGTTGTAAGTTTGGCTGCCAATTGTTTGTTCTGTGTGTGATGTCTAATTAAGTTATCCTACCTAGTCCCAGAAAGAGCTCAGGGCTTGCCACCACCAAGGAATCCATGGAATGCCCCTAGAAAGGAACAGAGAGAAAACTGCTCCCTCTTGGAAAACCTTTATTGCCACCATAGGCAAGTAGTTTGCTTCACCTTTGCACAACCTGTGGAGAGTCACGGGGCAGATGATGCTGACTACAACAAGCGAACGCTGACATATGAGCGGTGAAGTGGAACTAACACCGAATGAAAATCTCAAATTGGACCTTACCAGGGCTCAGAAAAGTGAATAGGTACTGATATGAACAAGGCATGATATATTTTATATATTTTATACAAACTGATTCATATAAAACATACATTTAAAACAGTACCTAATAATTGCTCCAAAAGTAACTGGATACTAATCTGAATGTCAGTACAAGACATAACCAATAAATATTTGTCTAAGAATGTTGGATTTACTAGTATGTTCTCTAGAAAAATAAGATAAGGAGCGGACTAAAGTGTCCTCAGGGAGTAATATGCTTAACACTACACACTCTTAGACATTATCAGTACTGTTAAAGATAAATGAAAATATTTCAATATGAAGACTAACTCTTTTACATACAGAACAATAATGAAAACAGTGCTTACTTAACAGCATTTCCATTATATTATTGAAAATTACTCATTAATGAGACAGCCAGCCACAGTGTGATTTATATGGATCTATAGAGATGAGTGGGTATTGCTATTTTATTCTTCCTCTTGAAGATCATCTTCACTGCACGAGCCCTCAAGACCAAAGCTGTTTGGAAGAAAATCATAACAAAATACATACACTTTTGTTAAAGTAAATGTATAAAAGTACGTATATTTATTTTTTTTATTATCACACTGGCCGACTCCCACCAAGGCAGGGTGGCCCGAAAAAGAAAAACTTTCACCATCATTCACTCCATCACTGTCTTGCCAGAAGGGTGCTTTACACTACAGTTTTTAAACTGCAACATTAATTATTATATTTGTATTTTTTTTGTGTGTGTGATGCAGAGAAATGAAAGAAATGACTCACTGCAAGTGACAGTTTACTGGTTAAAACAGAGTCAAAAGATTTCCAAAATTTTGGTAATTTTGACGATGTGCCTATGGTATAAATTTGCAAACTGGACAATATAAGAAAATAGTTAGCAAAAAATCTTGGAGCGTACCCTGTTTTACACAAAATTCTAACCTTCAATGCCAAAAACATACTACAGTGCCTAAGTTATATAACTTTACCTTGATATTTTATCACTCCATTTTGACTGATGACTTCTATCATATGCCTGGGCATAGGATCTGCCTAGTTAAAAAAATATGCAATATCCAAAGTGACCCACATCATCTTCAGCTCCTCCTTCAGCTCTGGCATGGACAAGGTCTCACTTATTCAGGTCATCCTTCATCTTGTGCCACGCTTTTTCTATAAAATTAATGTCTGCGCTAGTACCAGGCCAGTCAAGTGCTTGTCCATGAACCACATTCTATGCACTTCAGATGCATGTCAGGGTGCACTGATCTCTTTGGAAAAATCATAGCTGCGAACATTGGTGGACCTACATTTTTGGGCCCTGAAGCTTGAACTGCTATGAAGGCTCCTTCACAACCCCTTCTCATACAGCAGATCCAAAATTTTTAATTCAATGTGGACTAAAGTTGCTTCTGGGGCCCCCCTCTGGGTTTAGAGGCCCTGAAGCTTAAGGTTCATTAGTTTCATAGAAGATCTGCCCCCGGCTGTGAATGTTAAATTGTAATTTCAAATGGCTCTCGAGTACCTCAATATACTGCATCCTTCATTGTTTTGCTTTTAGGAAGAAAGAGCAGGGCTGCCTTTCCTTCAAACCACTGAAAGCACCCTACACTGAATATTTAACACACTTTCTCTTGCACCTCTTACTACCACAAGGGCAATGAACTTGCGCTGGCATACCTTGGTTGCACCTAAAGTTGGCTTCATCATCAAACATCACTTTCCTCCACTGCTCCGGACCTTAATGCTTGCATTTATTACAAAGTCCAACCCCCTTCATAATCACAACTTTTGATAATGATGGTTTTACAGCTGCATATTGTGAGGGAAGATGGAAGTTTCCCTGCAGCCTGTGGCTGCATGAAAGCCTACACTTCAGATGGCAAAATTGCAGGGTTGTGGGTCACTAGTCTTTCCAATAACTGATTTGTCTCTATTGAGGTAATAGGTTGGCCAGGGATTTATTTATAAGCAGCAACAATGGTAGTGGGTAGGTCATGTGACCCCTGGAGGACAAGCTTAATAGCTGACTCACAGTGCCCTGTATAGCATGTTTTTTTTTTCATGGCGATATCCTCTTCCCTCAAGGCCAACACTCAAGCTCTCTCCTCAGGAAGGTAACTCCCAGCATATTCACAACAGTAAAAAAAAAAAAACACCAAAATAACACATTGGGGCAAGTGAAACAAAATTATCAATAAGGCATGAAAAATGACTGCTAACTACCCTTGTTGCACATGTACTAAGAATGCTACAGGTTGCTGACACTCACTCCAGGCAAGTTCACAACTACCAGCTGCATGAAACAAATGAATGTGAATGGATGGTCTGTATTAGCAAGAGATCTTGCTCCCTTTCAATCCTTTATAAATCTGGATTCAGGGAGAAAGATTTTTTCCCCCTGTACAGTACTGTAAGGAAAAAATTAAGTTACCCTGGGTAAACAAATCATACCATGGGTGGGGTTAGAACCCGCAATCAGAGTCTCAAAACTCCAGACCATCAAGTTAGCCACTGGGCCAGCTAACCACAAAAAGATACATTCAACTAGACATATTTATACACCATAGGAAGGTTAGCATAGGCACCACTGTGACCACAAATGCAAATTTTTACAGACGAATCTCCAGCTAGCGTGGCCATGACTAACTCTAGCTCAAGTCCCCTCAAAGCCGTCAACATGACTCACGAAATTGTAATGACAGGATTGCAAACAGACTCTGATCACAGGTTCTAACCCCACCCATGGTATGGTTTGTTTACAATCGTGTCATTACAATTTCATGAGTCAAGTTACCCTGGGTAGGCTGATAACACTGAACCTGTAAGAGTGCTACACAATACAGGTGGATGAGTGAGCATGAGTCTGAAGCCAAGTACTATAGCAAGATTTTGGGAAAAGCAGAAGAGAAAGCAAACACGGTAAATAGCCATTTCCCCAAGGCAATATAGAAGAATAAAAAAAACCAGATACAAACAGAAAGAGGAATATGTATGCATAATTTAATGGGATGTACAGTAATAAGGTTGGGACAACAATTAAATGTTTGTTTTACTGACACCCATAATGCTTTAAGCCTGGAAAACAAAATAATGGACTATTTGTATTTTGCTGAACTCACAAGGAAAAACAGTGTGTGCAAACAGGCTTACATTCAGCAGTGATCAAAAGGAATTCCTAGTGATGAATGATATGAAGCCCAGAAAAAGTACCGTAGCTCCTGATCTAGAGAAATATACTTTTTTTTTTTTTTTCAACAAGTCGGCCGTCTCCCACCGAGGCAGGGTGACCCAAAAAAGAAAGAAAATCCCCAAAAAGAAAATACTTTCATCATTCAACACTTTCACCACACTCACACATTATCACTGTTTTTGCAGAGGTGCTCAGAATACAACAGTTTAGAAGCATATACATATAAAGATACACAACATATCCCTCTAAACTGCCAATATCCCAAACCCCTTCTTTAAAGTGCAGGCACTGTACTTCCCATTTCCAGGACTCAAGTCCGACTATATGAAAATAACCGGTTTCCCTGAATCCCTTCACTAAATATTACCCTGCTCACACTCCAACAGATCGTCAGGTCCCAAGTAGCATTCGTCTCCATTCACTCCTATATAACACGCTCATGCACGCTTACTGGAAGTCCAAGCTCCTCACCCACAAAACCTCCTTTACCCCTTCTTTCCAACCCTTTCGGGGACGACCCCTACCCCTCCTTCCTTCCCCTATAGATTTATATGCTTTCCATGTCATTCTACTTTGATCCATTCTCTCTAAATGACCAAACCACCTCAACAACCCCTCTTCTGCCCTCTGACTAATGCTTTTATTAACTCCACACCTTCTCCTAATTTCCACACTCCGAATTTTCTGCATAATATTTACACCACACATTGCCCTTAAACAGGACATCTCCACTGCCTCCAACCGTCTCCTTGCTGCTGCATCTACCACCCAAGCTTCACATCCATATAAGAGTGTTGGTACTACTATACTTTCATACATTCCCTTCTTTGCCTCCATAGATAACGTTTTTTGACTCCACATATACCTCAACGCACCACTCACCTTTTTTCCCTCATCAATTCTATGATTAACCTCATCCTTCATAAATCCATCCGCCGACACGTCAACTCCCAAGTACAGTGGACCCCCGCATAACGATTACCTCCGAATGCGACCAATTATGTAAGTGCGTTTGTACGTGTATGTTTGGGGGTCTGAAATGGACTAATCTACTTCACAATATTCCTTATGGGAACAAATTTGGTCAGTACTGGCACCTGAACATACTTCTGGAATGAAAAAATATCGTTAACCGGGGGTCCACTGTATCTGAAAACATTCACTTCTTCCATATTCCTCCTCCTCAATTTGATATCCAATTTTTCTTTATCTAAATCATTTGATACCCTCATCACCTTACTCTTTTCTTTGTTCACTTTCAACTTTCTACCTTTACACACATTAATTACATTAATTAGTTTGGCTAAGACCAAGGTTAAGTGAAGAGGGATTATTATAGTCATGTTACGTTTTAAACTCCTATAGGTCATACAGCACAAGTAAAACGATATGATATTTTAACAATGCATATACAAATCCAAGGAGTGGAACAGGTAAATTATAGCAAATCGGATAACAGATTCCTACAAAGATTCGGATCACTGCTCAAGTTCTTTTCATGAGTATGCAACTCTAACAACGCTTCACGTTGTGTGATTAAAGCATCTCGTATAATGGATCTTTGCAAAGTGTCCTGCTTTGTCAAAGGATTATTAACTACAGTACAGCATTGCCTAACATTCTCAGAGAACACAGGATTTAGAGCTTCACTAACTGTAAGCCTGTTTTCCTCTGAATAAATAAAAAGACAAGATTTCCATACCCTCACATTGATGTGGGATTGAAGGAAGTGATGCAAGAGTAGGTGCCGTTCTTTAATGGAATGTATTTGTGAGCCAAACCTGTTGGGTAACCAAGTTACTGTACTAAAAACTGACTTATGTATGCATAACTGACTCGTGTCAGTTAGTCAGTCACTTGCTTCCTCACACTGCTAAGCACACTAAACAAGTTGTTCATCTCCCACACAATCTATGAGACATGCAGTGAGTATCATTTACAAACTTTAATAAAATTTTCCATAATGGGTGACTAACGCAAGGACTTTCCCTGACCAACGATGATTGCTGACTGGCGCTCAGAGCGTGCACAATCCATGGTGCAGATTTTGTTTTCATATTTTATGTGAAATTACTAAACCTGTAGGAGTCATAATGCCTGAGGAATTATGGCTTAATCCAAGAAAAGGGTAACTTCAATTTCTTGGATCAATAGCCCTCCACCAGCATCAAGATCACCCCCCTCCTCTGAACGAGTAATGAGGTTTAGAGCTTATCAACTACATGACAGTCATTAAGGCTGTGTCACTTATTCACCATCAATCAAGAATACTTTAATTCCAAGAGTAAGGATTAACAAGAACTCTATGCGCACACACGCACAT